CCTGCTTTCCACAAGCAGCCAGAATCCCAGTCTCCCCAGGAACTCTGCCTGTATTAACTTTCCAGTCCGATAGTCATGCAAGTCTCATGAAAGCACCATGAAATGTAGGTTTGTGCTCCCAGAGCAGGTCTCCGGAGCCAGGTATTCAGCAGTACCAAGCCTTCCACTCCCTCCCTGCTCTGTTTGTCTTCCTCCCACCGGTGAGCTGGGGTTGAGGAAGGGCTCGGGTCCCCCAGAGCCACAGCTCTGGTATGTTACCCCGTTCGGTGAAGTTAGCTCTTTTCTCCAGGTGTGTGCAGTCTGGCGCCATCCTCTTTCCTATTGTTCTCTCAGGATTAGTTGCACCAATTAAATTTTCTAATTGTATCCAGTTTTAGGAGGAAGCCTCTGTCTCTCCTCTCACGCTGCCATCTTTAATTCAATCACCGCTATACCTCCTTATAAGACATACTTTAAACAAATAATCATAGCCATGATTATGTTTTCAGGTCCAAATCTCAAATAATATAAGCTGTACAACAACAACAAAAAAAAAATCTAAGAACTAATCTAATTAAATCCCCAACAACCTTACATTTAATAGAGGGAAAAAATTATTACTGATGTGTTTAAATTATTAATATTTTTTAAGCTAATTAGAACCAGGATAGGAATCATTCCCCAATTTTCCAATTCCACATATAAATTGTGTCATTTAAGCCCCTTTCCTTTTTATTAGCAAATTTTAAATTTGTGTGAAGGAAGACCTTAATCTTTAAAGAAAGATTACCATACAATTCCTTCCAAAGAATTAGGATAAATAGACTTTATCCTAATTCTTTATTTCATCAGAAGACCAGATGACTCCCAATATAATCCTGAGTTTTCCAGGTTGGCCCATCTTTAAAAAAAATTAATTGTGGGAAATAGTTTTATATATAGTTTATAGCTGAAAATCACTCACGGGATTTCTAAGACAGAAATACATTCATGTATTTCTTATGTCTCACAATTGTCTTTAGTTCCAATACAACAATAATGAATTTTACTTTCTTCTTGGTTATTAAACAAAACAGACAAGATTAGTAAACTTTTAAATAGGTAATCAGGTATATTAAACTAGCAAATGGATAATCTCTGTTTCTCTGTGTGTGTTTGTGTTTGCACACAAATGAAATATCAATGTTGAGTTTAAAGTAAGAACATCTTGGAGACTTTATCTATTTATGAAAATCATTTAACCTCCAGAAAATTAAGCTACACTGTTATTTATTTTGACAATGGATTTGACCATGTTTGCTAAGTAGGGGCCAATTCTTACTTAATTTGTAAAATTTTATGTGTGCATGTCTTTGGCTTGAATCTCCTTCAGAAGTATTAGATCGGTTGTAAAAATAATATCCAATGAAAACCTCTGAAAGTAAGAGAACAGATTGTTTAGTAGCAATACTCCCAATACAGAAAAATATGACATTAGGTAATAAAACAAATCTTCCATCCTGTGACTCCTAACCATGTGGTCTTGGTGTATCTGCGAGAGAAGCAGGCATTTATTACTTCATATGTCCTCTGATACTTTGGGATTATCACTTAATTAACTCGGCATAAATAGACTGAACAAGTGGTGTGAATCCCAGTGGACACAACACTTAGAATTGTATGATGGATCCTCAAAAGAAATCCTGGAAAATGAACTAGCAAGAAACAGAGAAGTGACACCTGCTTCACATTAGAATTTGAGTTTATGACAAACACTTTTTATTTTTCTGAACATATTTTTTAGTTCTGACTGGCACATTTATAAGTTATAAGTAGTTAAGTAGTCAGACAGGCATACATTCATTGAAATATTATAGGATGGACCTTCTCCATGTTCCTTAGTTTAGAGAAATATTAAAATATTAGAGATTAGTTTAAATTCCAGACACAATTTTAAATACTTGCTCCACTGTGATTGAATTTAAGAGAATTCAAGAAAACCATTTATCTGATGATGGAGACATACTTTTATGTTGTAGGCAATAAGAACATTTGTATATTATTTGTTAATAAAGCTTAAGAAAGGGATATGATTATGTGATTGAAATTTATTATTTTTCTAAAGTTCTCAAAAGTGAACTTAAATCTTTTAATCAAATATCTGTGTGACCTTTTAGGAATATGATTCAATCCTTTTTGAAAGTACCTAACATAGTATATTTTAAAAATGTATTAGGTCAGATCAAAAGTAATTTGACCTAATGTAGTTAAAAGTAGTTAAAACCTAAATGTTTTAACCCAAATTGTATCTGAAAGCAAACCTCAAAAAAAAAACTTTAATGCAGTTTTAGCCAAACTATACCTTAGAAGCATGTTACAACAATACTTCATTGTCAGTGGACCTTTATAAATGGAAATAAATATTTATGTTATGAAAAGTGGGCTGGATGTTTTATAGTTTAGTACATTTTAAAGTATATAAAGAATAGCAAAGGGAAGCACAATTTTGTTGGCCCTGCCCACAATTATTTTAGAAATTAAATAAATTAATTTTTGTTTACAGGTAAATTTAGAAAGGGCTTAATAATGAAGCCTTTAGTAAGGAGCATCTTAGCTCCCAGAAAGCCACTTTTGAATCTGTACAGGATTTCTCAGATACTGATCAACTGAGTACATCACAACTTACTGTGCAGATATATTTTTCCCACCGATGCCAAAAAGCAAAACAAAGCAAAACAAAACCCTCAGTTTAAAAATCTAAGATGTTTAAATGAGAAACTTTGGGAATCGGTTTTGTCTGACCAAAACCTCTGGTATGCTGACAGAAAGGAACTTTGGAGAGGCATCTATTTCAACAAACCATTTGTATTTATTCATTCGAACAATCACAGACTTCTATTTGAAGAGACTATAGTATCTTGATGCAAACAGTGATGTCACAAGATTGTTCAAGTAAAAGAAGGAAAAATGGTTAATAGCAAAATACTATTTCATTTCTTTCTAGACAGTTATACAAAAATTAAAATTTCTACACATTCATGGATTTTGGTATTCTTTCATTTTCCCACATTCCATTTCTTGCCTTAAATGCATAAGTTACAAATAAGATGGGCTTTATAAGGTTATATAAATCACTAACATAGTAAACGATGTTAGTTTTAATTTCTTCTTTTATCTTCTGAAGTGCATTAGGGGGAATATTTGTGGAAGTGCTGCCTACAGGAAAGGGAACTTTCTATAAGAAATGGCATAAGGAATCAGTTAATGGTTGGGGATGAGAATGGAGACAATCCGGGAAGAAATTCTCGTTTTGAATTAATTACCTACAGTGGTATGTGGCTGGAAGGGAGAACCTGACTGCCCATTGGCCACTTGAATCCTGAGGGTCAACAAAGTTCCTAACAGCCAGAGTACTGATAAAGTTTTTACAGACACTATGATTCAAACAGTATTTTTAATAATAACTTTTTGGACCTTAAGTCTCTACCAAACTCTGGGAGTTTATCAAATTGACTACCTTCTCCAAATTTAGGCCTGTTACCAGAGAAATGCACAGTCCTGATTGTAGACAGACAGCAGGTAATTTTCATGCCCTTACAGCCCTCTCTCTATTGACTTACTGTGAGTTTATTGCTCTGGAGAATATCTTTTATTTTCTCCATCAACACTATGCTGCTGGTGGCCCCACCAATTTCTGACAATATATACACCTGTCTGAACTTTAGCAAATTACCTCCACTCTCACTTTTGAACAGCCACTTGGTTTATGACCTCATGATGTGCTTTTGATGAATACCATGATAATAAGTATTTATAAGTATCATGAATATAAAGAGAAATAACTTTTCATAAGTATCATGAGAATAAAGAGAAATGGCTTCAATAGTTTGTGATAAATTACATGTTATATTCAATATTTATATACTTTACTGTTCCTGGAATGATCTATACATTTGGAATTATTTGCTGAATTTCATCCATATACATTCTTCACGAAAAGAGCTAGTTTAAGTTTTCCTTCCACCTTTTTAGTACTAGTCTTTAGCTGGCCTGTTGTGTCTTCCCGATGTTTGGTCCTATCCTTATTGGTCTGTTCAACATTTTTTAACATGATTTGATTATAACAACATGCCAAAACTGAACACACTTTAACTCCCAATTAAGGATGCTAATCTGTTTTAGTTAAATCCACAGGTTCTTGGTCATCAATAGATGTAAGTACTGGCACTGTAGTTTTTTGTTTTTTTAAAATAAATGAAGCCTGTTTTATTACTTCAAGTGTTAATGATAAAAAAATTTTCAGCACAGCTGTTGCATTTAAAAAAGTGAAACTACATACTATGTTTCTAGCTCAGTAAACAGATGAACCTGATGTCTCTGAATGACATAATTGAGCATTGTACAGTACATCTTATGAAGACCCGTAAATTAAAGAACTACTAGTTTTAAGTTAGTGATTATGAAACAAATATGTGTTCATAATTTCAGCTTCTTTTTCCTTCCTCTACCATCAGGTGCTCCATGCATTTTATGTTTCTGAGTTGAAGGCTTTAGTCCTCTTTTCTTTTTTTCTGACTTCTCTTTTTCTTCTAGTTCCAGTTTTTTCTCTTTCAATCAAGGTAATTAAGGTGTTATATCTCCTCTGGAGCTCCATTGCTGTTCTGGACTTAAGAAACCAGTCAAATCTGAACTGTGGAGAGTTGCGAATACACTGTCGTAATTCATCACAAACATTTTCTTTGTCAAATCCGAGTTTGTGCAGCATACAGATCAGAAAATGATCCTCTTCCTCAGTATAGTTTTTTCCTTTGTTAGTACCACATGATATTCTCAGCTGATGGAAAGGTGCTTTGTACCATCCAATCTTTGTGTCAAGTGCTTTTTTGATACTAATTCTTCTTTGAATTCTTGCCTCTCCCCTTTCAATCTAAGCCATAATCTTCTCTTGGAGTTCATTGCATCTTTCCCAGAACACAGCTGAGTATTCAATAACTTCTTCTGGAGTTTTTCCTTCTACTTCTCTTGCTATATTTTCAATATCATCACTACTCCATTTCTCATTAGCTTTGATAAACTGGTTAAAATCTCTCTTATTCCAGTTGGTAAATCCCTGTGTTAGAAGCTTCTCTTTTTCTTCCAATTTTTCATCATTTAGGGGTTCAGCTTCATCAATTTTAAGCTGTTCTTCTTTTTGTGCTTGTGCTGCATTTGGTAGGTCAGGATTTCGAGTCACCTTGTACCCAATAGTTTTTATGTAATATAGAATTTCTTTTTCCAGTAATTCAAATAAACTTGGAGGAAAAAACTGGAAATCCTGAACGTTGGGTTGTTTCAGAGGTCGAGGAGCCTTTGGTGCTTTAGGTTCACTGACACGAAGAGCTTCCCTGAAATAGGCATCAATAGCATAGTTGCTTTTCTTTCTCTTTTAGGTGGTTCAATCCACTCTGTGAAAGCAATCTTTTGTTTTTCTCTATAATCTTCTCCTTCAAAGTTATAAACACTCGATTCTGTATCCATTGTAAAGTTTCTAAGTGAGCTTTCACCCATCTTGGAGAGTTTTTCATTCATCTCTGCAGTCTTCTTTGCACCTCTTTCCAAAATACCATCAATATCTTCATCAGTAATCTCACTTTCCATTGAAGCAAATACATGTGTTGCCCCATGTCTGATCATTTGAAGCATTTCATCTTTGCCAATTTTGTTCAGATTCTGATCCACAAGTCTTACTTGCTGAATGACTATTGAATCCAGTCTGAGTTTCATCTCAGCACGTTCCACTATTCTTCCTTCTACAGCGTTATCAGTTATAAAGTGGAACACTCTGACTGTCTTGGATTGTCCAATTCTATGTGCTCTG